GCCGCGGCGACTGACCGAGCCCGCGACTGCCGAGCTCCGCCGCCGCCCTCAGGTTCGCCGCGGACGCCGAGCGGGGACGCGACCGTCGGGCCTGTCCTGCAAGCCTGAGGCCCCGGCCGCGACCTGAGGTCCCCGCCTTTGGCTGGGGACACTGGGTTTCCTCCCCTTGAAGTCAAGCTTCGGGCATCTTGCCGTGTCCCCAGGTCTGGCGACGGGTGATCCAAGGCGTTGCAACTCGCTGGCGCGCGAGGCCCCGGACAGGCGCCCCGATTCCAGGCGGGGGCGCGGGCACAGGCAGGAACGCTTCCTCCTCTGTACTTAGTTAAGGCGGAAGGTGGCATTTTAAGTTCCCTGGACACACCACTCCGCTGTGCTTACAATTCATTCATGAGGCTTACGAATTTTTTAAGTCAGTCCTTTCCTGAATACAAAAATCAGCGAAGCCCAGTGTGTGTGGGTGTGTGCCCTTCACAAACGCGTTAACAAGCGCTTACGTCCTCGGCGGATGGACTCTTGACAGCACCTTCAGAACACACCGAGTAGGGGCTGGGGATTTAGCTCAGCGGCAAAAGCGCCTGCCTGGCAAGCGCAAGGTCGTGAGTTCGGTTCCCGGTACCGGAGAAAAAAAACAAAAACAAAAACAAAAAAAACACACCGAGTAGGCATTAAATGCAAGCAGACCTGTGTGGCCAGGAATTGTCCGGGGGCGGTCAAGCTGGCTCCCCGGCGGGCCGCCGCGCATCTCTAATCCTCCGAGCTGGATCGCTGCGAACAGTGCCGGTCCGGTTAGGCGAGCTGCATGTGCAATATGGAAACGCAGTGGCCCGCACCTTGCGGGGGACAGCGTGCTAAGGGACGTCGCGAGGATGATGGACGTGTTTGAAGCATCTTCTACATAGCGAAGTTTCCTCAGTGACAACGTGTCGTGTGTACAGGTGGACAGAGATCTTTTATAAAGCACCAGCAGTGTTGGAAAAATAAAATTCCATTATTTTTGTTTCATTTTTACAGTTTCTTGCTCAGAGATGTCACCATTTAAAAAATCCGTCATGGCTGTGATTTGGGTGGCCGCGTGGCGTCACAGACTTTCCGTTTGCTCCGCGCTCCGTAAGCGCTGCGTCATTTTGCTGCTTTTTCGAAAACCGTTTACTTTTAGGAAACTCTCCCACCTTCTGGATGGAGAGGGGTTTTCACACGTTTTGAACTTCTTCCAGAATCAAAGGGCTCTCACAAGGTGAGCTGACCTTTCGCCACCCCGTGTGGCTTAGTGAGGACCCTGTTTATTCCCTGCGGGGTGTACTCGGCCTTAGGTAGCAGGGTTACAATGTGCAGGGGCCGGATGCGCACCCACTCCCGAGCTGGGGCTGGTGGAGCGTGCACCCCAGGAAGGCCAAGCGTACTGCTTTTTATGCTCCCAAGTCTCCCGATGAAACCATGGTTCTTGAGCCGCTTAGGTTTGATTAGTAGGAGACATCACCAACACTTTTCAATAAAGTACGGCAAAATGCTTTTTTGTGTCTACCTGGTTATTAACCCTTGGGGCGGCAGTGAGTAAATACAAACCCCGAAGGCTTCGGAGCAGTTCCCTAACAAAGGTTACTGCTGAGAGAACACCCTGTGCGGGCTCCCGGATGGTACTGTAAATGGGCTTCAGGGTACCATGTGCTTGGAAAAGAAAACGTGTGGTAGGGGACGATGCCGTGTCTCAAGCAACACCAGCTCTCATAGCCGAGAACAGGAAGGAAGATGCCCCTCAAGCCACTTCCACATGGCCAGGGGCCCCCCCAAAGCGGCCCCCAGTGATCGTGGCCACCTACTAGCGTCCCCTCCATCCCTGGAGAGTCCGCACCCTATGCTGATGGATGTAGCACGCTTTCATGAGTCTCTGGCAGGGAAAGAGGAAGCGTTTTAATAAGTCTATCACAGAAAATAGAGAAGGAAAACTGTAAGGGGCCCTCACATGTACCATGCTGACAAAAAAGCCAGATCAAGGGATTTGAGATACGAGCCTAATTCAGGACCAGCAGGGCCCGCCTGGGCCTCCTGGGATGGAATGCCTTTTTGTTGCTGGAAGCTATCTTCTGGAGAAGCCTTCCATTTGTATCTCTGCAGAGAAAATCCGAGGGGCTGTGTCTCCCCACCCTCCCCTTTCAGTCCTGTCAGCCATGCCCCCGCCTCAAGGTGGGAAGAGCACCAGCACCCCTCAGATAAAGTCTGCCCAGGGTCTGATTTACTGCAATGGCCAGGCAGACTGTGGAATCAAAGGGCACTTTCAAATAAAGGCCACAAAATTACAGTAGCCTATTTTGGTGAGCTGGGGTATCGAAACTGCAGGATTCACACCATTCCTAAATTTAAGTGTGACGTATAAGCTTAAGATTGCGGGGCAGATACTTTTGACAAAGATCAACTGGTTTTCACAAAAGAGTAAGAAAAATCTCTAATGAACAGAATCTAAATTGTTACATTAATTTTATTCATCTCAGTTAGAAAAGTTTTCAATTTTTTACTTCTGGGTTTTGCTAACTTTTTTAGAGTAATAAGATTTCTCTGTTGTCAAAAATACATAAAAACAAAAACCAAAAAAACCCCACCTTCTTAACATTTTAGAAATTCCTATTATTCCTTATTATGTAAAAACATTTTATTTATTTTTAAAAAATGTTTAAACATAAATAAATATACTGTTACCGAAAGCAGCTGTCTGTTTTTTAAAATGAGACTTGTGGGTTAAAAGCAGGAACGAGCCCGAGCCACAGAGAGAGCTTTAAGTTTATTTTGGTAGACTTGCTCTTTATAGGCATTGGTTTAAAGTGATTCTTTTCAGAAATGACTCTGACAAGCTGGAGAGAAAAGCAAAGGCTGACTCTTTCTAAGATGCACAGTGACGACCAGGGACACGAGCTCCTGTCCTGCCGTGGACGTGGCGCAGCCACAACAGGGCAGGGGCCCACAGCGACGCTGGGGGCTCCCGGAGGCTGTGGTCCCGGCCTCCAGGCTCCCCACCTGGGTCTCCGCCAGGCCTCAGAGGGCCCCCCTGTTCCCAAGTCAGGTCCCATTAGTGCGCTGCAGTGTCACCCGCTGGGCACAGGTCCTTCCTGCTGTGCCTCCAGCATGCCCTGCCAGCCCTCCCGAGCTTCTCCAGCAGGCCACGGGAACCCCGTTCCTACTGTGTCCTATGCACAGGTCACTGCCCTCTGACTCTAGAACCGGGTATCTTGCCTTCCAACAAAACATGGTAGATGCTCAACGCACTTTTTTTTTTTTTTTTTTTTTTTTTGTTTTTTTTTTTTTTTTTTTTTTTTTTTGAGACAGGTTGCATTATGAGCTCAGGATGCCCTTGAACTTGGAGCAATCCTCCTGCCTCTGCCTCCTAAATGCTGGCATTACAGGTGTGCACCTCCACATCAAACTTTTAATGCACTTTGAACTGGGGAATAATAATCCATGTTGTAAACGCTTGCGGTGATCCTGAGGTTAGTGGCCCTGTTTTAAAGATGACAAGAAAATGTAAAGTTTCCGTGAAGATATTAAAATTCCTGAGTGCACAAACACCCTAGTTGTTGAGTCCAGAGTAGCAGACAGAGTTCTGCAGCTCTAGCCATAAAATGCCTTCATTTTCTCTGTAAAGCAAAATTTCAAGAGTCTTTGGTTCATGTGAGGCAAAACCAGGTTTATGCATAGCGCGGCCTATTTTTGTCTCCCCCAAGACGACTGGCTGTCCTGCACACCCCTCAAAAGCTCACTTTGAGGGGCCAAGTGGCACGCACGGGACATCTCAGGGTGCTTTGACACGGCCACACTTCATCAGTTTTAATTTACAGAAAGGAAATTAAATGATAACGTGTTTTCCCCAAAGCAGAACTATCTAGAATAAGCTTTCACCTTAAAACAAAACACAGTATGTTTTTCATTAAATAATTCCCCAAAGAAATTCAAAAAAACAACCACGGCAGCTCTGAGAGATGACCTGCCTTCTGCACCGAACTCCAAAACGAAACTGCGGCGCTGGCCGGCAGAGCTCAACCTGACAACGCCCACAGGCACCTCTCAAGGGTGAGTTGGTTTTGTCATCTGGGCAGTGTGGACTTTTGCTTAAACTTGTCATTAATTCCAGAAGACCTGGCCATTTGAGAGAGAGTGATTTCTTAAGAAAAATAATCCTAATGAAACCCTTATTTGCAAAAATGACTTCTGAAGTCCTGTTACAGTTACATTTCCAAAAAACACAGATTGGGTTGGTGTACTTAACTAAACACAGTGTTTTGTTCTTCCTGTGGGGCTGCCTGCGCCTGGCCCAGGAGGACAGACTTTACACCGAAAACCACACGTTTTTGGAACTGGCCTGGCTGCGCGAGGCCTGCAAGAGGATGGCGCTAGTTTACAATGAGGGGGTTCTGTGCAAAGCTGAGGGCTGCGTGGAGCTCTTTCCACTGACTTCAGCGGGGACTGGCAGGAAGGGAGAAGAGTAAACGCAAATCGGCCTTTTGGGGCTAGAAAGGGGTGGGTGTGACCCCTGAGCTCGGGAGATAGGAGCTGCGTGGGAAAAGCACGGCGTGCACGCGGAAATGGCAAACACATCAAGGGTTCCTTTTCTCTGTTCTGCCAAGGAGACTTTTGGGACATCAGATCTGTCTTCTTTAAAAGCTGCGCACAGGCATGCATGCACACATATACACTCTTCCTCCAGACTGATGGTTTTCAGTATCAGTGTCATTTACTTTCTTGGCCACAGATGGAAAGAGAGAGCAAAAAATTAGGACTTGCAAAGCCAAGGCCATGGTGCCAGGTGTGGTGGGCCAAGCCCGTAATGCCAGGAGGCTAGGATTACTTGGGAGGCTGAAGCAGGAGGATCTCTGTGAGTTTGAGGCCAGCCTGGGCTACACAGTGAATATAAGGTCCACCTGAACTATATATATATGCGGGGGAGAGACCCTGTCTCAAAAACAACCACCAAAAGTACTATGCCATGTAGTCTACCCTCTGAGCATGCGCAGTCTTGCAGGAAGGAAGGCTCTGTATTTTGCAGTGAGCCGGAAACTTCCTTCAGAGCTCCTGATGTCCCTCTGAGTGCGGCACAAAGCACCTTTGCCTCCAACTGGCAGAGCTGGACCCACTGCTGCCCCGAGCTGCTCCTCCTGCACCCGAAGGGTCTTGGACTCGTTGGCCACGTCTTCAGGGACGCAGTAAGCTGAGCTCAGGAAGGAGAGGCCGGAGACCACGTCACACACACAGACCAGTGGGTGTCCTCGGAGCAAGGGAGCGAGCGAGGGCCTCCTCCCCCGGCTAACACAGCCGGCCTGTCCGCCAGGAATCCCGCCCTGGATGCTTCAAACACCCAGCTCACCAGCGGCCGGCACCAGAGCGCTTCTGTCGTGCTTTTCCATAGCTTAGGGTTGAAAGGCCTCCACCACCAGAAAATCATTTGAATGATACCAGTGATGTTTCCGTGTAAAAAAAAAAATTTTTCCTAATAAACCCAAATCCAAGTCCAAAGGGAGGGGGTGATTTCACAACGATGTGGGCTTCCCCTAAACTAAACCTTTCACCTGCCGACCCGCCATCTGGAAGCATCTTCAGATAGCAGTAAAACAACAAAACTGTTAAGAACCAGGAAAATAGAAAAAAATGAGAGCTAACAAATGAATTGAGGGAGGGAAGTCACCCTCGACTCCACGCTAGCTGTCAGGTCCCAGCGGAGGCGACGGGCGGTCGGAATGCTCGAGGCCCTGCAGTCCCGGCCCCCACCCGCCCGGCCCGCTACCGCCGCTTGGGCAGGATGAGGTTGCGCAGCATGTCGAAGGAGTTGCCGTCGGGGTGCACAGTCACCACCTCGCCGCCGTCCTGGAGGACCTGCAGGTACCCGGAATCGTCGAGGCCCACGATCCACACCTTCGGGCCCTCAGCACTGCCCAGACGGACCTGCTGGCCGCTGCAGAGGAAGCACAGCAGGGTCACTGGGAGTGTGACGGGAAGGCTGGCGAAATGACTGTCCCTTCTACTGAGGGGCCGAGGTCCAGGGGAGAGGACAGAGGCTGGCCATGGGGACAGCGTTCACCTCCTTGGGTCCCCTGTGAGTTGTTTTCATTACAACTAAATAACCAGGGTCAGACAGGCATGGTGGTACACGCCTGTAGTCCTGGCACTGGGGAGGCTGATGCAGGAGGACTGCCTCGAGTTAACACCAAACTGAAGTACATAGCGAGACCTTGTTTCAAAAAAGCAAAATAAAAATAAACTAAAAGGGTTATGGATTTGGACTTCGGATCCTGATCATCATGATGCTGACCCTGCCTGCCCACCCAGGGCGCCTAAGCACCTGTAATTCAGTCTTCGCAGCCAAGCCTGAGACAGAGGACGGGAGAGATTCCCTTATAAAGCTGGGCAGCATCATTCTGCTCCTGCCTCTGGAGGTCTTCCAAAAGCCACCGTTAACTTACATCCTTGTCCACAGTTTTCAGAGTAGAGAACACCTCACTCCATTTTTATTATATATTTTTAAACTTCATGTATTACTTTTTGTGGGGCCAGGGGCTCGTGCCTCCTAGGTAAGTGCTGTCCCTGAGCTGCACCCCAGTTCCTCTCACCCCAGGTATTTGTTTGGAAGAAGTTCAGACCTGCAGAGAGCTGAGCCTCGCGCTCCCCTATTCACACCAAGGACGCATTTTCTGTATTTGCTTTTTCTCTTGACCCACTTTTCCCCTGCATCAATAAAAATAAGTTCCAGGCATCGTGACGCTTGGTGCTTATACTTTAGTGCGCATCTCCCTAGTGAAACAACAGTCCCCTCCAAACCCGATCACCACACGCCCCCCGACTCAGGCAATCCGGGCTCGATACAGTGACACTGCCTGACGTACGTTATCTGCATCAGAGATACAGCACTGATGCGCACCTAACGCCCGTGCTCGATTCCCAGGGCCCATTAACATCTCTTGCGGCTGTGGCCCCGCATCTCATGACACAGCCGGAAGCCAGCTGTCAGCCTCTGTAGTCTTCTTTCATCTCCGGCCCCTCTCCGCCCTTCCCTTGTCGGGCGGGAGACCTGACATTTCTGCAGGGTGGAGGTGGAGCTTCTCAAAACGCCAGCTGCACCTGTTAGCACAGCGCAGGCCCCAGCCCAGCTTCCAGTGTGTAGGTCTTGGGTGGGAATTTGCACTTCTAATGAGTTCCCCAACGAGGCTGCCCTGCTGCTTGCAGTTCTTGCTTTGAGAACCCCTGCTCTGAGTCCCTGCCACTGCTGGGGAAGTCGCACTGACTGGATCTAGGATGCGCTCTGGGCTGGGTCTTCCCACACAGCCTATCAGGATGCCCCCACAGGGTAACCTGGTGAAGGTGGTGTCTTCTGGCTCCTCCATCCCGGAGGTGAAACGTAATTATCCAGCCAGTGTGCACCCCTTCCTGCAGGATGCTGAGCTACCGACCTACTAGAGGACCCGCAGCACTCACCTGTGTACCCAGTATTTATAGTACAGGGGCAGGACGCCGTTGGGCCCTTGGTCCTGAAACGTGTCGATGAGTCTCTCCAGCACCGTCACAGCCCTGGCAATGACATAATCAGCTCGTAAGGGCTTCAGGTCTGCCCCATGTTGCTTGTTGTGCTCTTCGATGAGGTCATTGATGCAGATGGTAGGGTTACTGTTAGTCACGTTACACCCAAAGCCTGCACAACAAACAAACAAAATGAGCGGCTCGTCACCTTGATGGCACCATCGGGTCCTCTACAGCCCCTGGAACAGGCTATGGGTCTTGTTTTTGTGCCGCCAGGGATGGGACTGCTGAGGGCCTGTGCACTTCCGGTAAGCACTCTACCGCTGAGCTGCGCCCCAGCCCTACAGCTAGAGCTTCCCTCCAACTTCCTGTTTTCTGCCAACAAGGACGTCTCAACCGTACTGCGAAGAAGGTCAGGGAGGCGAGCCACGGGACTGTGTGAAGAGTTGCTGTCTGGGACAGGGCCCCTGGTGGCATTTCTGGAGTAACAAGCCCTCCCCCAGTCCAGGCATGGGCCCGACAGAAAACACAACCTGCTTTTCCTTGTCTGCATGAATGACAGGACACACACTTGGAGACAGGGAATTTCTTCGAGGCTTAGGGAGAAACCCTGCATTCAGAGCCTATGCCTGGTCCCGGTTCCCCCGGCGGACCCACCTTTAAACCCTTTATCATGGGGAGCCCCTGGGGCAGAGGCTTGGGTGTGGGAAGGAGAGGCCCATGCTCAGGGTGCCTTTCTCCTGAGTTAACCTCAGAGGTCTTCGGGAGGAGAGGGAGACTGCAAGCAGTAGAAGGCTGAGGGACAGGCACATCTCTCGGGCCTCTAGGGAAAAAATCCCCACAATGTCAGCCTCAGGTAGAACAACGGCATTTGTAGTATCAGTGAAGGGACACTTTGTTGTTAAGGGAAGGATGGACTGGCCTCAGACTTTTAAAGCCGTATCCTGGCCATTAAAATATAAACCTGGCAGGTACAGTGGTGTAAATCTGTAATCCTAGCTACTCAGGAAGCCGAGGCAGGAAGATCTCAAGTTTGAGGCCAGCGTAAGCATTAGTGACTTAGTGAAATCTTGTCTCAAAATAAAAAACAGGGCTGGGAAAGCTTAGTGGTACAGTGCTTGCCTAGCACGGGTTCAATCCCCAGTACCACAAAAATTAAAAAATGGTGAAACACAGGCAATGTAAATTACACCTGGGAAAACAAGCGATTGCAACAGGCACAAAACTGTCTCAATTCACTCGTCGGCAGAGACAGCCCCCATCTGAAGCACCTACTGAGGGCAAGGCGTTCAATCGAGTGCTGGATAAATCCGAAAATTCTCCCTTGCGATCAGAGTTAAAACATCCTGGGGACATTAGTGACACTGGTGTCAACCTACGCTCTGTCTGTACAAGGACCAGGCAACGCCCCGCAGGCAGCTCTGACTCTCTCCCTGTGGAAGCCTCTCTCCCCTGCACCCAGCTGGCTCTAGGAATTTATTCTTAGTTCCCCGCTGAGGACGCAACACGGGAGCGCTCCATCCGGCCTGGCGGCTCAGGGAAGACAGGAAGCGCAGCGGTACGGTGCGGAGCAGCTGCCCGGGGTAGCACTGCTGGTACAGCGCTGGGGCTGCAGCCTTGTGTTCTGTGGCCAGCACTTCCAACACACGGTCACATGCTTTCTGTCCATTACTGTTTTCCGAACACCAATTAAACTCTACCGGGCAGGTTGGCGGCTGGATGACCAGAGACCTAAAAACTCAGGTTGCCTAGCAACCCATCTCCTTGCTTGATTTTCCATGTGTGAGGTGAGACAGGAATTCCTTGCCCCACCTTCGGCAGCCATCGGTAAGCTTCAAGAAGAAACTTTTTTCATGGCTGGGAAAGACCATTTAAGAATGCCACACCAAGCTGGGTGAAAGGGTGCACGCTTATAATCCCAGCACTCAGGAAGCTGAGGCAGGAGGATCACAGTGAGTTTGAAGCCAGCCTGGTACCTAATGAGTTGAAGACCAGCCTGCAGTATAAGTGAGACCCTGTCTCAAAAAGAAAAAAAAAAACCTGAAAACAAAATAAAACAAAAAATGCAAGACCAGAGGGAGAACTGTCTTATAAATTACTTTTCTGAATACAAAATGGCACATTAAATGTTTATTTCTACTATTTCAAGTTCAGCAAGAAGTAGAAGTGTAGGAGGGGGCAAGAAAGCTTGCTTGGTGTGATTCAGGCAACGCAAAACCCCTTGAAGTGCTTTCAGTCAACCTGGTGCCCTCTACATGCATACTATGGCGCAGGACCGTGGCGCCCAAGAGAACAGTTCTCTCACATGTAGACAAGCACAGACTTGTTTTGGAGGTTGGTTTTTTGAGGGACTGTCTCGCTATGTGGTTCAGGCTGGTTTTGAACTTGGTGACCCTCCTGCCTCAGCTCCTGGAGTGCTGGGATGACATGCGCCACCATGTCTGTCAAGCACAGACCATTTTAATTTTTCTGGTCTCAATAATGAAAAATCACAGAAGGAAAAGCTTTAACAACTTACCGACAAGTATGTAGAACGTCTCTCCCATAAGCGTTGAGTTAACCAGAACTCCACCGATCTTCATGAGGTCACTGTAATATATGTCATTGGGCCACTTCACCCGTAAGTTGATATCCTAGAGGAACATCTCATGTTAATAAGCAATCACAGGATGCAAAGGGCCTGGATGGCACCATCTAGGCAAAAGGAAGATGAGCAGAATACACTTAAAACTAACAGAATATAACCTCACCCTCTCCTTTTGCAGACAGCTAGCCACATCTGTGGGACAATCCAGTACTAAAGCACCTCCTGTGGGTGGAGGATGACAGCCTACACAGCATGCGTGGTATAAATCCCAGCATTCTCCCCTAACTGTACAAAAACCCTCTGAAAAGACCTAGCTGTGAGTGAAGTTCTTTGACTATCTCAGCATTAAGAAACCACCATGGAGAACCATCGAGTGCTGGGTGCAGGGTACAGGGTGCAGCAGACGACAATACCGACAGGGCCCTTCTCCCTTAAGAAGCTCCTGTTGCAGAGAAAGATGGCCCTGCTGAAGGGCTGTCCAAGAGGCAGCAGAAATGCCTCACGGTCAGTGCCAGAACGCGGCCAAAGTGCTGAGGAGGAATCGCTGTTTGAGTTATCACCGCAAGCCCTGCAGAACTGCCACCCATCGACTCGGGGGCAGAACCTCCCTTGTCAGTGGCCCATGCTGCTCCATCCTGCAGGGGTGTGGCCGGGGGCTCTGCTTGGGCCTTGGTCACAGCAGCTGGACTAAGAGTGGACACCCAGGCCTCCACCTGACCTTGGAGCAGAGACTGGAGCAGCCCAAGTGGGCTCCACAACACTGGGCTTCTCAGACCCGGTGCTGGCAGCCAGGCTGGGCCAGGCGTGGGTAGAGGAGGGCCCTAGAGATGCAAGATGGAACAGAGACCCTTGACCAGGCAAGGCTGAGGGTCAGGAGCGCAGCTGCTGGCCTCACGCCCAAGGGGCGGCCCCTGTGCACTCCTTGCTCCTGGCGCTGGGCTCAGCCCTCTTTACAAGGAAGAGACGTGGTGGCTGCCACAGATGACAGCACTGGACTCCAGCACAGGGCTTTCTGAGACTCAGCCTGGGTGTCTGAGGCCACGCGGTGTGGCCAGCTGTCCCCTCCTTCCCACAGCTCTTCCTATTCGTGCTGTCCTGAAGCCCACTGTCCCCACAGCCGTGTAGGAATCACAGCACGGAGAACCAGGGCAGCACGAGGCGGGGAGCTGCAGTGACTGCTTGGGGGCAGAACACTGTGTCTCTTTTCTGTCTGGACACTGAGTTCTCAAGGGGACAGCTGGCTGTCACAGCTTGGGAGAGTGTGACCGGAGCCTGGTGGCTGCAGAGGCAGAGGCCAGGGCTCCTCTTCCCGTGCACGGCACAGCCCCAAAGACCAGGATGTGAGGAAGCGACTCCTGCTGCGAAGAGCAGGAGACGGTGGGGTGCGGGTGACACCGCTTCGGAGTGACACAGTCAGTGCGCGAAGCGAGGCTCGCACGCCCACGGCGGTGAGTCCAGCGCAGACAGCAGAGCCAGAAGGTTCGGGCGGCATCCAGCGGGGCCTCAGAGGATGAGCAGAAGACGGCAGACAGGAGCAGGAGTGGGACGGGAGAGGCCCAGGAGCCCACGGGGCTTCGGACAGGGGCAGAGGAAGCCGGCGTAAGGCCCCGGGCCCGGGGAGCGGCAGCACGGCCGGGCTGTGTAGAATGGCCTTAATCCGTGTGCTCACGGTGGCATCTGGCGAGGGACAGGTTGGCGCCTAGAGGAGGCCACAGGAAAGCAAACTCAGCACGACTGGCACCCCCTGACCGTCGGCAGCCGTGTAGCCAGGCCACAGGGCACTGTCAAAGTCCACTTCAGACACACGAGCTTCAGCATGGCCTGGCTTCTTACGTGAGAAACCAAAAGTATAAAGAGAGAGCAAAAGGAAAGAAAATTTAAAATTAAAAAATAAGAAAATCCAATTCAAAATCAAAGTCACCTCAGGCCAACAAGGCTGACGAGGACGACTGTGACCAGGACAAGACCTCTGGGGCCTCCGCCAGCTGTGGCGCCCGGCGCCTGGCACTGCCTCTGCATGCAGCAGGGGCTCAAAGAATGCGTGCTAGGGAGGCTCTGTGGGGGGAGTCACAGCCCTGAAGAAGGAAACAGACTCACTTCATCTTCTAGGCTCAGTATTTGACCTGTTTTTTACGACTAATTATGGTGCTGCTAGGGTTAAAAAGGCCACCTGTCATGCAAGATCCTTCTGTTTTTTGGGTTTTTTGTTTTTTGAGACCGGCTCTCACTATGTAGCCAAGGCTGGCCTCAAACTCATGGTGATCCTCCTGCCTCAGCTTCCAAAGTACTGAGATTACAGGCGTGTGCTCGGTGACCTCTCTGTTTTGATGCTCCTTGGAAGCATAAAGCTCAGGTGCTGCAGATGGGGCCTGAGAGGTCAGTAACGGTGTGACAAGTCCGGGACATTGCCAGGACACGGGCATGTGATGTCAGTGACCTCAGTGCAGTGCAGGGAACATGGACATCAGAATTAGCTGTAACTGCACAACAGCAACGCTGCACGCACGCTGTGAGTTTGAGGCTGAGCTTGCGTGCGCCTGGAGGTAAGGGGAGGGCAAGGGATTCTCATCCTTTAACTGCTGGCGACAGCCCTAGTCTCTCTTGAGAGCTGTGCTTTAACATTTTGCTAGGAATCAAGATGATCACTTTGCTTTTAGCCTGACCTAGAGTCCCAGGTAGGAGGAAGGCAGGGAGGCAGCTCCTTTTAGGTCCATTTGAAATTCTCCCTGGACCGCCAAGCGGTACATGGGAAGCAGAGGAGACACTCCAGTCCCAGGCTCATCGTTCTCGTCTCCTTGTCTGTAACCACTGAGACCAGTGCATCCGGCAGTAGTGAAGACGCAAGCACATCCGTCCCTGCTGCTGGAGGGAGACAGTCCCCAGTCAAGCTGGACGGTGCTGGTCAACTAACAGCTGTGCAGAGCAGCGATGACGGTAAACAGAGGTAGGAAATGAGAAGGCTTCCGGGTCGGTAAAATAAGAAAACGCAGACAATCATTTCCTCCCGGTCCATCTTGGTGCATCCGCTGAAAGCAAAGCGGTCCTTACAGGATGTGGAGAGATCGGGCAAGTAGGCTGGAAGGGGGATCCGGGGAGCAGTGCATCCGGTGAGCCTGACGGTGCTGCGCAATGCCGAGCGCACTTTGCTACCAGCTCTGCAAAGGGCACAGGGCAGCTCCATTCCTCCGCCAAATGCGCAAACCAACGTACAAACAAAACAAGCCAAATTCTACACCCGCAAGAGGGAGGCGCCGGACTTGGTGTGTAAACCGCACATACCTGATACGCAGGAATGGACCGCACCGCCTCCACCACGGCCAGGGACATCAGGTGCTGGATGAACGGGATCCTCTGTCCCAGCTGGGACCGCAGGGGGATGGACAGCAGCACCGTAGAAAGGGCACATCCCAAGGGGCTCAGCCATGCATTTGGCCCCCGCCCTGGAAGACAGGCCGGTTGGCAAAGTGCTGCTTTACCACAGGGAAATCTCAGCCGCCCGCATAGCGCCCCGCTCAGTCACCTGCGGTTAGCACGCATCTGGATGTCCCGCGTTACTCGGTAAAAGAAAGATGCTCATCATGGTAAGATAAGCGGCTGAAAACGTTTCCCATACTTAGCATAAGCCATGCCTCCGTGAGCACATCATTTATGCTTGGGCGGTTAAGGTGGAGCAGTGTCTGAACAGACCCCGCGTTTCATCCTGACCAGACGGTCAAGGGTGAGAACAGAGGATGAAGACACTGGTAAGAAATGGCACTGACCCCGGGGAAGTGCTGGAAGCCACTCTTCAATCCCCGCTGTGGTGATAGCTGCACAATCCAGGGAATCTACTAAGAACCAGAGCTACACACTTTCCATGGGGGACCCTGGCATATGAATTTCATCTCAGTGAAGTTTTTTTTTTTTTTTTTTTTTTGGAAAGGGGCTGGCTATGCAGTTCCGGCTGGACTTGAGCTCACTTTGTAGCCCAGGCTGGTCTCAAACTCGCAATGATCCTCCTGCCTCAGCCTCCCGAGTGCTGGGATTACAGGCGTGTGCCACCACGCCCAGCGGTGAAGTCATTTTTAAAAGCTGATCCCTGACCCTAACTCTCTGAGTTGGGAGTTTTCCTCAAACTGAGGTTAGGAAAGCCAAGGCATCTAAGTGAGAAATACTGTTTGTCCAAGTTCTTCTAGAATACTTTTTAAAAATCCATCATACTGAGTCCTATATTTGATAAAATAATTTTTCTTCTTTTTGAGTTATGCTCAAGAGAAAGAAGTGGAAAACAGCAGATCTCTTCTCTCTTTGCTGCTTCTGTGAAATCGGGAAGAGCCCTGGGGCTGGAGGCACACTCGGGAGGTGGGGCCGGGTGCCAGGGGGTGCGCTGCAGGGACCAGGGAGCTGCTCCCAGCTTTGGGGAACTCCGCCCGGCAGGTGGCGGAAGCCCGGCAGCCCCTGCTGGTCTGTGGTCACTGTGGGAAGGGCACCGAGCAGTGTCCACTCCTGCAAAGCCCAGTGCTAACTGGGAGGTGTCCACGGGGGAGCAGCCCCTCCCTGTGACACTTCCCACCCACACAGGCTCGTTCTAGACCTCACAGAGGATCTTCAGGAAAACAGATGTGTCCAGAACACGTTATGATTCACACCACAAGGACAGGACCCCAGATGTCCAAGCTGTCCCCACGAATGTCAAGTGGTTAGCAGACCTGCAGTCTGAGAGAACAACTTCATTCCACGCGGGCTAAACCTTCCCACCACGGCTTCCTTCCCCCTCGCCCTGCATCCGGCGAGTACGAGCACAGAGCAGACTCCCACTCGAGTTGTCCCAGGGATCAGCACACGCAGCTCACAGGCTCTCTGGCCACCAGAGTCACAGATTTTAGAAAGCAAAATAACAGCAAGGGTAACAGAAGATGACTGACCTCTGCCCTGAGTCTGCCGGACTGCGATGGCTATTAAACCCATTTCCTGCGGCATCTCAAACATCAACCTGCAAACGGTGGGAAAACCGGTCAGCTAGAACAGGACACAGGCAGTTGGGCCCAGAGCTCAGAAAGTGGGGCAGGTCCTGTCTACCTGTGCGTGTGGGGCCCAGGAAGGACCGATCTTAGGATTTCCACAATCTGCGGAGATGCACAGCCGTGGGGAAGTCACCCTCCTTCCAGCTTTTTTTTTTTTTCTTTAAAGACAGAGTCTCACTACATAGTTCAGGCCAAACTTGAACTCACTATATAGCCCAGTCTGGGCTTCAACTTATGGCAATCCTCCTGCCTCAGCCTCCTGAGTGTTGGGGCTTCCTTCTAGTTTCTATGAGGTGAATGATGGAAAAGTAAGAACGAAAAAAATGTCATTTATTAGATGGGAAGGAAGGGTGAACCTGCCAGAGCTGCTGTTCAGTTTAAGACTTGGTTATGTTTGTTTGGAGTATCTGATCAAGTTCTTTCCTTCCCGTCTGATGCACGTACCTTCTTCAAGGGACAAATCCCAACATTTGTTTTTACTTACGGTGTGTTTCTGTTGGAACGCTGGTACACAATTGTAACAGAAGTTTCTGATTATTCAGAAAAACCAATATGGTGGCTATAAAGCCGTTTAAAAGATACACTATCCCCTGAGAACTAATTATGTTTTAACTACAGTAAATAAATCTACACCTTCTGAGAACTCAAGAGAACCCTGCATCATTTTAGGCTTCAGTTCTGCTTTTAAAATGGTTTCATGTAAAAGAATACAAACCTCCCTTTTGGGGATATGTAGAAAAGTGTACTAATCTCCCCCAAACAGGTCAAAATTAACTGGTCTTTTTTTCCCCCTAAAATGAAAAAGGACACACACACGCACACACACACACACACACACACACACACACAGGCAAAATCTCTCACTCGGAGAATTCCCTCTGAGAAACTCGGTTCTACGCAGGAGTTCTCCTCCTCCTTCCGGTGGCTGCTGACCTGCTGCAAGTGGGCAGCTTGTCACTGGGGCAGGACGTATCTGACAGGCAAGTCGGGCCTGCCCCGGCAGCCACGGGCTCGAGGGCCTCCTCGCAGTATCTGCTTTGTGGGGGGCAGAAGCGCAGAGAGCTGGTATTGTGACTCAGCGTGAAGTTTCTAATAATCAAGCTGGACGGGTCCACAGCACTCTGGCAAGACAGGGGCTCAAAGAAAAGAAAGCTGGCGCGCTGAGCTCCCATCTCTGCTCTGGGCGAAAGGCACCAGGTGGAACTTTACAAATGGCTCGTGTTCAACATGAGAGAAAAAAGCCTTCAGCAGAAAAGCAAAGCAGCACGCAGCACCCATCTCCCCATGCCCGAGTGCTTGGAGAGGCCTGCTGCCCGGTGCGCAAGCTAAGGGTAAGAAGGGCCCAGGCGGGAGATCCCAGGCCCTGTGGGCGGGGCTTGCCCGGCCCCAGCGTCCTCCCGGGCAGGCACAGGGCACCCTGGGCGAGCCCCGCATGTGCCAGTCCACTTCCACTGCACATGAAATACAGCCCCACAGGTATTTCTCTTGGACACAGTGAATAACCCATTGAGAGCGAGCGTGCCCATGCAGGCCTGAGCTCCAAGAATAAAGCGTCCTTTTCTTGTGTCGGACCAGCAGGAAAGCCTAAGAAGGATTCTTTGTCCACACGGGGAATTAACATTATCTTCCAGAACCTCTGCTCTCTCCTGGGTCGGGCAGCCCTTCACCTGGGCTCCTGAGGCTGGGCTTGGGGAGAGCGGCGAGAGAGGGGTCCGCACACCGGGAGCCCGCCGCAGCGCTCTGGATGCCAAGCGCCCTCCGGGCTCTCTAAATAAACATGTGCACAGTAGACAGTCGAACGCTCCAGCCAGCCACGGCGATGGCGGAGGGGTGGCGGGCACAGGAAAAGGGGGGTGCAGAAACCTAACCCAGACTTCTAGAACAAAGAGAAATGATTAAGGGAACATATGCACTAAACTGCTAGAGGTTTGGCAGCAGTTAACAGGGCATATTAATGAGAGGAACGAGTCTGTGCTGCTGAAGGCCAAGAGGAAATCTGCGAGGAGGGAGACAACGGGGGAAGGAGCTAATGCTTAGCCCGAGACAACTGGAGGCCGCCAGATTTATTTGTGCTATCGGAGATAACTCTGGGGGCCAAACCGCACGGCGCACGGTCAACAAAGACGCCATTTAGGAACCCGTCCGTTTTGCATTTCTGAAAACGAAGCTGCTGCAGCTAGCTTTAGCAGAAGAAAGAAGCCATAAACGCATTTCCATCCTTCCTTGACGATGCCCTGACACGAGGAAAAGGAGAGAAAAAGGAAGGGGTTACGCGGGGATTACCTCCCAGCCCCTCGCGCGTTCTCTCTTGGCTGGCAAAGGCCGTGGAATAAAAGGCTTCTGTGAGTGGTACCGAGAGGCACGCAAGAAAAGCCTCCGTCTGCACTCCTGGCACTTCCGGAGCCCTACAGGGTCACTGTGAAAGCAGCGGGCCCCGAGCGAGTACCTGAATCCCGAGGGCCCTGCCAGAGAACACCCTGACTTTCACAGGGTCATTAAGATGAGGTTTGGATAATTACGAAAATCCAGAAGACAGGCCTGGAGGAGCGAGCGAAAACTCTGGATGAACAAAAATTTAAACTCAGACTCAGTCCGTCCACTTTGGGGATCTGAACCCAAACGGGCCACATTTACCACGGTACTGTAAAAGCAGAAACTTTGAAATGACCTAATGGCTCCCGAGGGGAATAGTTCCCTGAGTTATGGGATATGAAGTCAATGGAATAATTTGTACCATTAAAAATGACAGTTATGAATGCTGTATACCAACGCGGAAGAAATGTACGCCGTAAAAATGTTACACAGAAAGGCAGGATAGAAAAATGACACACACGTTTGTTCCATCGAGGTAAAATTCACAGAAAAGAGAGGGTGGAGACTTCACAAAGTGTTAATGGTGGCTGTACTGGAATGATTTTTTTTTTAACTTTTCTTCGATTGCCTGCCTTTTAATTCAAAAATTATTTGATTTTTGTGAAAAAGCATGTTTTTTACATTTAGATATAATATTTGCAATACCCTATTCATAAATATTTCTAGGAATAAGGCCAAAAGTTCTGTTTTAAAAATAAATAAGAGGATCGAGGAATAAAAATGATCAAAATGCAGTATGTATGTGAACCAATTCCCCAAATGGATGTCATTATGCATCACATACTAATAAAATATAAAAATTAAAATTAAGAGGGATACAGAAATTTGGAAAATAAAGGTATTGATGTGAGAAAGGAGTAAACTACCCAGTTGCTGTAATAAAGTGAGTATCATAAAAAAGAGAACCAATAACAGCTATCTGCAATGTGCATTTTATTATAAACAATGAACAAGAGCCTGTCTGCTAGGAACTAGTGAGCAGAAACTCCTAAGACCAGTCTGCTCATATGAATGACAGCTTTAACAATTGCATACTTTTTACCCAGTGACTACACTTCCAGAATTGAATCTTGAACAGTATTCCGACAAGGAAACAGAGCAATTCCAGGGCATAACTATTTACAGCAGGCTACTGACACACTAAAAAAAAAAATCAGGAACAATCTATGTGGTGCATGATAAAGGAATGAAAGAAATCGTAGCATCACCAAGTGAAAACTACCCTACAGTCACCAGGGACACGGGCCAATGCCACTGGACAATATCACGTGATGTCGCAGGATACACAATCCTAAGCATAGCATGATTGCAAAGATGATCTAAAGTACACTTTTTGGGCCAGGGATGTAGCTCAGTGGCACAGCGCTTGCCTGGCAAGCACAACGTTGTGAGTTTGATTCCCGGTACCGGAGAAAAACAAAAAAAAACCCAAAACTAAGTTCAATTTTTGGTACCAAAAGAAAAAAAAAAAGAAAAAGAAAAATAATTTTTACAATTGTTAGGAAATACCCCAAGGTACAGAACACAAGTCACCCAGGTAAGTCCTTCTCATTCAAAGTCTATGTTCTTCTAGGATTCTTCACTAAAAAATCACACATAGACTATTCTACAAAACAAGTGCCTGATGACTTGCACATTTTTTTTTGTTTGTTTGTTTTGTTTTTTCTCCAGTACCGGGAACCGAACTCATGACCTTGCGCTTGCCAGGCAGGCGCTTTGCCGCTGAGCTAAATCCCCAGCCCCTGACTTGCACGTTTTTATTAGAATGATGTTTTAGATGTATAGTGATGGACATTTTTATTATGTTAAGGTTTTTTGTAAGGTGTGTATTTAGAGATAAATAAGGACACACAGTAACAGTAGTTATCTCCCCCAACGTGGTGACAGAATTATATGAGGATTTAAACTTGTTATTCTACATAATTTCTGGGTGGTAAGCTTCAAGTGACTTTTCTCTTCTTTATACTTTTTCTGAAATTTCCAATATTTCTACAACTGGACTGCACTTCTAGTCAGAAAAAAAGCTATTACAAAAGATTTATTTAAGCCCAACCTTTCTTTTGAGTAGGTTAGGTCTGATCCACTAGCTAGTGTTGGTGAAATAAGTTCCTTCTGTCCAGAGATCACAGACCTGCGATGACAGGGCAGCCTGCAACCTGCAGGACACACGCACGGTCACACCTGCCCGGCACTGGTGCCCGCACAAGGGCAGCAGGCCAGGGCCTGGTTAAAGGCCGCACACAGTCCCCTGAGGAACAGTTTGTCTCTGGAGCTCTGCTGTGGCCTTTACAAGGTGCTGCAGCTTTCTCTCAGGCAGGGACCGTCCCTGGCCCCGCAGTACATGCAGGGCGTCCCACGGCCACTCTGCAGCTGGGGCATCCTTGGCAAGTCTTCCCGGGCCGGTGGCCTGGGGGGTGCACCTCAATCCAGGTGCTTCTCAGTGCCTGGGAGAACAGTCGGCCACCAAGCAGTGCTCTTCTGTTGTGCTCTCCCCACTGACTCCCCTTTCTCAGTGCTCAGAGACACATTTGCAGGCATCCTGTCCTCATGTGTGAAAAGAACGGAGGTGGGGGGGCTCCAAGAGAACAGATGAGGG